AATAATAATAATTCAGCCAGTATATTGGTTATCAGCATTAACCTTCCCCTCCCAGTATCGATATCAGCCAAAATTTCCAAAATCAGTTGGGCTCTAATCGAGGTCTGTCGCAATAAACAATAAATCAATTAATCGCCTGATAAATTAAAATTGTTGACCTCATTTTCATTTATCGGCTTTATCGTTTCTTCGTGTCTCTCACTTTCTACTGAAGACACTGGATGACAAAAGGCTCAACTCCGGTGCTCTTCACTGACCCCTCCCTTTCTCTTTTCTCTTTAAAATTTATTTTAACCGTTCAAAATCGCTTTTTTGGTTCATTAAAAGCAGCTAAGCTACGAGCTAAACTACGAGCTAAGCTACGAGCTAAGCTACGAGCTAAGCTAACAGGCCGACCTCAGGGGAAAAAAATCCTCCGTCTTGTCGAGCTCCAAAATTCATGGTTGAAATTCGTGCCTTCGTGTAAAAAGAACAATATTATCGTTTATCGCAATAATTTCTGAGACAATTTATCGCGCAGCATAATTTGTTATCGTGACAGGTCTACTCTAATCTTTATATCAACTTAATCCAGCTGGTGCTAGATTAAGTTGCTCCCTCCACTCGCCAGGATCCGTCGCTCTGCGCTGCCTCAGACAACAACAAAAAAATACCGTTCTTCTCCACAGTCTAACTCTTACTCACTTGAATACCCTGCATCAAAAACATTAAGGTTTAATTCTAATAAATGTATAATATATGTAATATTCATAACGAGCTATTAAGACGGATGGCATGTTTTGAATTCTTCAAATGGTTATTTTTAAAAAGTCTGTTGTTGTTTTTCTTGCTGCAACATGAGATCCTCGTGGTTTTTGTGATTTCTTTTAGTTTTTCCTCCCACTTCACGATCATGGAGACAACACTGGATCTTAAATGTGAGCCCTGAGGGGACATTTTTGGAAAATTCAACCTGTGCGTGCACGTTTTCCTTTTCATCGTCATAACTTCTTGACATTCTTCAGCTAGCTGTGTAGTCCACACAAAGTTATGAGTGTGATTGAAGGACTAACTTTACTGTCCCGTTCTTCCAAGTGTTGCCTTCGTGTTAGAATCAGACTCGAAGTTCTTTGTGATGTTTTATGAAAATTTTTAAAAAAGCATCCGGCAGAACACAAACAAGCCCCAACAGGTCGATTTTACTTTCCTCAGAACTCCGTTTGAATAAATGTTCTGCTGCCCTCCACATGCCAAGAAGTGTACCAGTAACGTGTTCTTCTTCAGATGATTTTTAAATGCAGCGAAATGTTAATGCAGTTTAAAAATCCTCCCCGGTTGAGCCAAGGCAAGTAAACTATGGGAAACATTAAAACAATGAACGTCCATGTTGGTTCAGAAGTTTTCTATGGATTCTTCAGTGTAATCTGTTTGTTTACAAACAGTTCATTGATTACTTTTTATATTTTCTTATTTCTCCCAGATTTGCCGGAGCCACGTGAAGGACACGCAGCAGCAGTTCTTCCACAGCCTCGCGGTGAGACAGAGCTTGCCGGTGCACTTCAACATCCAGCAGGACTGTGGACACTTCCTGGCTGACGTCCCCGCCCGGCTGCTGCCCTGGGAAGAAGAGGAAGAGGAGGGAGACGAGGAGGAAGAAACCAAAGAAGCTCCGATGGACTCAAAAACGAAAGGCTCCAAAGCGTCGGCCTCCAATGGTCAGTTAGACGACCGGGCGTCTGACGTGAACGCAGCGGGCCGTTTGAGGAGCCGAGTGGTGGTCATCACCCGGGAGGTGCCGTTCCAGACGGTGGCGGACTTCGTCAGAGAAGGGGGGCCGCGACACGCCAACAACCCGGAGCTGTACGAGCGTCAGGTCTGCCTCCTGCTGCTGCAGCTCTGCTCGGGGCTGGAGCACATGAAGCCCTACCACGTGACCCACTGCGACCTGAGGCTGGAGAACCTGCTGCTGGTCCAGTGCCAGCCCGGGACCTCCTGGAATCTAGACCTTCTAGAGCCCAACAACAACAGCGGTGGCGGTGGAGCTGCGAATGCTGCCAACGCCACCTGCCCCGCCCGCCTCATCATCAGCAACTTCTCCCAAGCCAAACAGAAGAGCGGCATGATGGCCGCCCACCCCGGGACGCTGCGCGACCAGTCCAGGCTGGCGCCTGAAATCATCACGGCCACACAGTACCGCAAGTGCGACGAGTTCCAGACGGGGATCCTCATCTACGAGATGCTGCACAGACCCAACCCTTTTGAGGTGACTCCAGACTTAAAGGAGCGGGAGTACACGTGGGCGGACCTGCCCCCGCTGCCCACCCGGTCCCTGTACTCTCAGGGTCTGCAGCAGCTGGCCAGGCTGCTGCTCACCGTCAACCCTTCGGAGCGCATCCAGATGTCCGAGGCCCGCGCCTGCCTGCAGTGCCTCCTCTGGGGTCCCCGGGAGGACCTGTTTCAGGCGCTGGGCTGCAGCAGCGCAGGCCCCGTGTCGGGGGCCACCGCGAGCCAGCGCGACGCCACGCTCCAGAACTGGCTGGACCTGAAGCGGACGCTGATGATGATCAAATTTGCGGAGCGCTCGCTGGACACGGCCTGCGGCGTGAGCCTGGAGGACTGGCTGTGCTGCCAGTACCTGGCGTTCGCCACCACGGACACCCTGAGCCGGGTGGTGCACATCCTGCAGCCGCCGCCGCATCACACCCAGCAGAACCAAACGCACCTCGCACACGCCCTCCACTTGACTCCGTCGCAGCCACTCTGAGGTGCCTGCGACTGTTACCATGGCAACAGATCCACGTTCCCTCCGCGCTCCCTCAGCTGATGTGAGCGTCGTCGTTGCCGCCGCTGGATCAGCTGCTCTCACTTCACTCCTCGTCAGCGACGTCCTCACACATCCAGTGGTTTTGCTCTTCTCTAAGATCAGAACCCAGCACGAGCAGAACCATTTAAAGGTTTTGCGTTTTCCCCAAATTCTACACGACGGCAGCTTCATGCGTGGACACGACTCGCCGCCGTCTGACTTTATTTGAAGCTGCATGAAACCGAATCAGTCTGAATAATATTCTACGAAGGTGCCGTCAGTCATTCATTGATACCCCGCAAGAAAATGTGGTCAGAAAACCAAAAATTGGAGGATTTTCTCCTCATTCACATTATTTTAAGACGTGTTTGAACATTTGTAACCTTTTTTTTAATGTTTGTGAATGAGAATGTTTTTAATGAGGAGAATAATTATTGTTTTTAAAAACTTCTCTAAAGATAAAGGAGAATTCTTGAAATTTAAATAATTTTTTTATAGCCCAGACTGGTGCAACCACAACCAAAGAGCAAGCAGACGCCTCCAGTCACAGGGTTTCTGCAGCGTTCTTGTATTTTGTCACAACAAAGTTGACGGATTTATCGTTAAAGCCTGAATCTCAAAGAGCTGCAACTGTTGGCAACAAGTTCATGAAAATCGTTTACCGTGGCGTCTCCGAACACGCTTGAAACAGTTCCTCTTCTTTCCTCGCAGCTTTGTCGCGTGAATTTTACACATTTTCAGTCAAACTAGTCGCAGAGTTGCGAGCCTCGCAGGCCCGTCTCCGGACTTCTAGAGCCGTTTTGATGCCTTCAAGGGAGGAAACATCCAGCGCTGCAGCCCCGAACGTCCACGTCTAAAACCACGTCATCGAGAAACAATCGTCCAAAAACTAGTTCACATCTGCCCAGCTTCGTTTCCAAAGTGAGTTCCTGTAGGTGGAGCCGTAAACGTGGCCGAGTTCGCTCAGTAGATGTAAAATGAGGGAGGCAACCAAATAACGTGCGCAGCCTAGAACTAGAAATGTGTTTCTGCAAGTCGTGCACGTGAAAATATGTCTTAAAATTCACAGTGAGAATCGTGGCCTGTAGGGTCGGCCGTCTTTAGGCAGATCCAAATCAGAGCTGCGATGTGATTTTTAAAACCATCAATGAATGGGTGGCTCAGCTGGTAGAGATGATGCCTCTCAGTTAGAGCTGAAGGGGGAGCGCCTCAGGCGGCTAACAAGTGGCTAACGCTTGAGCCGTCTTGTTCCACAGCTGAGACGGGACCGTGTCTTAGCGATATGATAAAGCTGCTGATTTATTAATGTTGCACTTCCTCTCTGTGTTCCTGTAAAAGGCACAGCACGGCTAGATGAGCTCTGAACCGTGGTTTGTTTCAAGGAAGGAGTCATGTCTGTCGGAGCTGCAGCTTCACACACGCTTACTAACGTGAAGGCGGCGCAGCTGAATGGACTGTACTTGTATAGAGACTTTGTCTTATCAAGACACTCAAAGCTCTTTACAACAATCTGTGCCTCATTTACCCATTCATACAGCTCTATACTAGATCTCTACAAAGACTAATCAG